ATTCTCGAAAGGTCGCGACTGCGACCTTGCGGTTACGCGAACTGCTCCCGCCTATGATTCGGGAAACGACGCCGACCCTCACCTCTTTTAAGTTGCGAAGAGAGCACGGTTCTCCTTAATGGAAGTCACAATTTTTGGTGTTCTTCTTCAGGCTTCCTCGGGATAGAGGAAGTAAAGTGCAAGAAGTAGTTCCTTGCGGCAGAAGGAAGAAGGAAGAAGAAAGAAGAAGAAATTGAGTTTATTTCTTTTGTAAGTTTGTCTTCTTCGGTGTATCTCGGTGTAGATTTTCTTTGGCGTGTCTCGGTATAGAGAGAGCAACGAAGTGAGAGATTCCTCTTGTAAGTTGAGAAGCTCGACTGTTGTAAATTACTCAAATAATAAAATTCTCTGCAACTCCGTGGACGTAGATTATTTGCCGAACCATGTAAATCTATGTGTTCCGCTATATTACTGTTTTCTGGTGTGAATTTTCTCGTTCTATTTTTTGCTTCGTTGATTGTTCTTTTGTTCGATTTATATATATACCACATTAATTGATATCTTTTCTCACAACATAAAGTTGAACAAATTCATACGCCAATTAGATATTAGTGGATTTAATTTCAAAAGTTAGTTAGTCAACCATTAATTATTAATTACAGATTAATTTAGTATATAGTCTAAGATTTTTTATTAAACATTAATTATGTAATAAAATAAATATGGAACAATAAACAATTGAACTTTTAAATGTTCTTCCTTAAGCTAAATATTATCTAGCTTCCTACATGAAATTTAGTTTTTGCTAATTATGTACTGACTTTCTTTTATCTATAATCAAAACTATGACATTCTTTTAATTAATAAAACACTTAAAGATATATCTTTAAAAAAAGAATTATGAAAGTAAAAAGTCTATTTTATAAGCTTAATAATTTTTTTTATAAATAAATTATATGTATGCTAATTATTTAATCATTAAGTAGCAAGTGAAGTAATTACCTAAATTAATTTACACACTATCAAATAAGTAAGCTAGTAAACTAGGCTTTACAAAGTTTATGATAATTCTATTTTCCATTTAACAATTCAGTATCAAAATTAATTTTATCAGATGATTCTAAACTATAATAATAGATGTCAGACATCATTGTCAAACATCATTGATCACTTTCGGTGATATAATTTACCCTTTAATTATGTCAAACATCATTGATCACCTTCGGTGATATAATTTAGAGTGGAATATATACTAAAATATATTGAATTATGATTAATAATTCTATACATTGCATCACTGCCTCATATAATATAATGAACAAGAAAACAATTTTATCTTACATTGAAATTTTCAAGTGATGCCTAGCCGTTACAAATGGTAGGGTATAATAATAGTTTTTTTTTTTTTTTTTTTTCCTGAAACTTACAACTTCATCATGTTGGATTGTTTTGCTGTAAATTGTTTGGCGTTAATTATTTATGATGTTGAGATTATCGAACAAATTAAAATTAATAGATGCTCTGGAAGTGGAACTCCACTATAAATATGTTGTAGAAGCTTGTCAGAGATTCAGAGCAAAGGAAGAAGATGGAATCCGCTCATATCCTCATCCTTCCCTTTCCATTCCAGGGCCATATTATGCCTCTCATGGAGGTGGCCCACAAACTCATCGATGCCGGCTTCACTGTTACCTTTGTCAACACTGACTACAACCACCGCCGTCTTCTTTCAGCCACCGCCGACGATGGCCACGCTGCTTTCTCCACCACCACTTCCAGCCGCCTCCACCTCCTTGGAATCCCAGATGGGATGGCCTCTGATGAAGACCGAAAAGATTTGGGCCTATGTTGTAAACTAATTTCTTTTGGAATGACTCCCGGCCTCATGTCCGTCATAAGGGCTGCTGCCGACGAAGGCCGACCCGTACAGAGGATATTAGCTGACCAAAATATGGCATGGGCTTTGCCGTCGGCCATACAAATGGGCGTACGGGCTGCTGTTTTCTGGCCCGCTTCCGCTGCCATGATAGCTATTATACTCAACATTCCCAAAATGATTGAAATTGGGGTGATCAATGAAGATGGTGCCCACAATTATTATTTTTATTATTATGATTTTAATTTTTATTAAATTTTATAAATGGAAAAGGCAAACTATCTTATCTATCTTTTATGTTTTTAAGGATTACAAATGAAGAATGAGGTTTTTCGATTGACAACCGGCATACCAGAAGTCTGTCTGACACAATTACCTTGGAATTTGGCCGGAAATTCTGCTGACAAATCCGACATCTTCTCTTACATTATGACTAACAATCGAGCCACCATAGATCACGCCGACTCCATCATTTGCAACACGTTTATGGATCTAGAGCCTGAAGCTATATCTCTCCTCCCATCTATCATTCCAATTGGCCCTCTCTTCCCAATTGAGCACCACCCTATTGGCCACCTTTGGCTCCCAACAAACTCATCTATTGTTCTCAATTGGCTTGACTCTCACTCTCCGGGTTCCGTTCTTTACATCGCATTCGGAAGCCTTGCTATCTTTGATGAAGCCCAAGTGGATGAGTTGGCACATGGGCTTGAGTTAACAGGACGGCCATTTTTATGGGCTGTGCGACCCGGCCTTACAACCATGAGTCCGGGTCAACTTTTTTCCTCGGCGTATTTGAGCAGAGTAAGAGATCGGTCACTTCTGGTGGGTTGGGCTCCACAACAGCAGGTGTTGGCACATCCTTCCATTGGGTGCTTTATTTCACATTGCGGTTGGAATTCTACACTTGAAGGGGTTATGAATGGGACTCGATTTCTTTGTTGGCCTTATTTTACCGATCAATTTTTGAACCAAAGTTATATTTGTGAGACATGGAAGACAGGCCTGAGGATGACGCCTGAAAAGAATGGTGAAGGAGAATTGGAAGGCAGTGATGTGGCTTTTATCACGCGACAGCATATCAAGGAGAGGGTGGAAAAAGTAATGAGGGATGATGAGATGAGGGAAAGGGCATTGATGTGGAAAGAAAAGGCTTTTAAAAGTGTGAGTATAGGTGGGAGCTCTTACGAGAATTTTAAGAGGATAGTCAATATCATGAAAACTAGCCTATAGATTTTATTTCGTCCTCATGAAATGTTGTGTTACCTATATTTAAGATATAAAAAATGAAGTATAAGATTAAAATATTATTTACTTTTCAAATTTTGTACTTTGCTTTGGTTAAATTGTTATATGCTAAATAGTTGAAATTGGAAAGTAAAACAATCAAAAAGTGTTTTCAATTGAAGCTCAACAGGCCAATTTGCGAACACTTGGTGTTGTCCTTTTTTCTTATGATCTGTTTGAGATAGGTTTCTATTTGCTTTAACTTTCAGACCGCCATCACACACAGTTATTTTTAAGGAACTGCTTTCTAGTTGTTTTTTTAGAAATTTCTGTGGTAAGAAGTTATTTTTTTCAACCTGAACAGTTAATGTGTGGTGACTGTTAGAAAGTTGAAGTCTAAAATTTTAAAATAAAAATTAATTTCTATTTGTCATCGCAGCTTTTAGAAAAGCATTTTCTTCTGCACCATCCTAACAGTTGATTCTTCAAATAGTTGCAGCTTCAATTGCCCAACATGACCTTAGTTTGCTCATTTGATCAAGTAGTACACTTGCATGATGAGAAGATGAACAATAAGAGAAGTGTTTTCCTATTTTCTTAAAATTGTTTATTTAATACTTCTTAGAAACTAAGCTCGGCTTTTTTCATTTGACATAACTTAACTAAAATCCTATCAAACAAACTCTAAGTTCATATTAATTTATTGCTTCTCTTTTTCTTCTCTATTACGACCACCAATAACTAATTTAATGAATGCATTTTGATATGCATCTAAAATAATTTATTTCATAATATCATTTTTTAAAAGCTTAAACATCAGCATATGAAAATTTAGTAAAGGTTTTCTTTTGCATTGTTCAAACAAACATTTCCTTTGTATTATTTTATCTTTCCAAAATAAGCGAAAACATAATTTAAAAGGTAATTTAGGGCCTATTTGGGGGCAGCTGCAGCAGTTTGACAAACAATCGTGAAGTTGTTGAAGAAGAAACAGTTGTTCAAAAAGCTATAGTGACAAGCAATTTTTTTTAGAAGGTACCGAAATATGATAAAAAACACAACTTTAAGGTACAGTTTTTGAGAACACAAACAAAACACAATTTTGCTAAACATAAAAAAAAACGGTGTTGTGTGCACAACCCCAAACACACCCTTAATTCCTTTTGATAAAGAGATTTAGCCAAATAAAAGAAACCTGATTATTTTATTGGTTACAAAAGCTACATTCATCAAAACCAACCTTTCCATGAGATTTGCATTTATTATGAGTAGCTGCAAAACAGACGGATTTGAAGTGGAGAGGATCCCTTTCCCTATATTCCCTTTCTCAGATTGAGACTTGAGACGAATCTCTTCAGCTAATAACTCATTAACCGCTGAGTCAACTGTTGTAAGAGGATTACGATGTAAAATTGTTCCACGAAGCCCTTAAAAATCATCTCAAAGAGCCATAAAAAACTGAATCAAATGTTGTTCATCTCGACGATTAGTGTATGGTTTAAGAGCTCATAATTCTGCATATTCAGTAAGAGATAACTGATCCCAAAGGTTAGTCTTGGCAGAATAAAATTCTTGGATGCTCATGTTGTTTTGTTAAAGAGCACAAATATCTATCTCTAATTGATATTGCTTCACAAAATTTGACTGCACATATAATATTTCCAAATGATTCCAAACTTTTTTGACAGTTTCATATCTTACTAATTAGACACCGATTGATTGAGAAACCAAGTTATTGATCCAAGTGATTATTTTTGAATTGTTTGCTTCTCATACTTCCAACCTTTCTTCATATTTTTCATCTTTTTCATCTATGGGCTTAAAAGGGGTTCCAAAAATATAACCCCACATTCTTTTGCCTTTCAAAAAATTCTTCAATACATAACTCCAATATGAATAATTTTGTCCATTTAATTGCACACTAATAGACTGAAGAGAATTATCTTTTTCACCAGTCATTGCTACTATTATCAAGATAAAAAATAGAAAACAAAGAACAGGAAGATCAAATACCAATATCGATAGATCACCCGAAAAACTACAATCGGGTCTATCGCTGGAGACTACAAATAATGCCGAAAATTGGATCTATCACTGGAGACTGCAAAATGACCCAAAAATTGCAAATAGATCCCTGAATGAATCAAAACTTTCTCTGATACCATGTTAAGATTTGCAAAATGAAATAGAAGAGGAAGAAGAGAAGAAAGAGGAGAGACAATGAAAAATGGCTAACATTACATGAGTAAAAGATAAATATATATACAATAGACAAAAAAAAAGGCTAAACTACCCTTAAGTATGGTAAAATAAAAAAAAAAATTTAAAGACTATAATATCTAACATATGAGACTATTTTTTGCTATACACTTTAGTATAAGATTTTTGACAGCATTTAGTTTGGATTATTATGGTAACCTTTAAAAAGAATTTTAATGTTGAGATGCTACTCACCACTTTCAACAAATTATAATAACGAGAAAATGATTTGTAGATTAACATGGTAGATTTTTATAAGTAATGGAGTGCTATTATACAGTCAATGATTTATTAAAAATTCTATCTTCCTCATACTATATCATGAATTTTGTTATGGACTTCAGTATAAATTTTATGGCAGCCTTTCTTGTCGATTTTTGTAAATTATTTGTAAATTAAAATGGTAGATTTTTATAATTAATTAAGTGAAAAATGGAACTCTGATTTATTAATTATGTGGTATTGTTATAAATATATACTTAGCTTCATGAGAAATTATTCATTTGGAAATTATTATTTAGCGGTTGAAAAATTAACACGACAGGCATCGCAACATTGGATATTGTCAATGTCGTTTTATTTTTCTTGATTGAGTTATATCCAATTAGCATAAATCATTAGCTATTTAGTTAATGGTTAAGAAATTAAGTGTTTATAATCATTTTTAAAGGATTAATTAGTCTAATAAATTAAATAGGAAGTAATAAACAATCTAAATTTTCTAATTATTGATGTAATAAAAAGGAAAATGTTCAAATTTTTTTTTTTCGATTAATTAATAATTTTGTAAGGATATATTATTATAATAATAAATTATATTTATTTCGTTAAAACCATAACTGATTAATAAACTATTTACATTAACCAACTTAAAATTGACACGAATTTATGATAATGTTCTTTTTTAAAGTAAATATTATCAAGCTTCCTACAATAAATTTAGATTTTAGCTAATGACTTGTTCCCTTCTTATCTTATCTATATTTAACGCGACATTATTTTAATTCAAAAAAATATTGAAGATATTTCTTTTAAAAAATAATTCTTGAAATAAAATAGTCTGTTTGATAAGTTAAGTGTTGATTAGTTAAGAAATAAATAAGCTACTTTACATGATTGATACGTCAACAAAAAAAAAAGTTACGTCATCTAACAGGAATCTCGCAATGTGGCACGAATTTCGATAAAATTTTAAAAAAAAAAATTGTTCAAATTTTGATTGAAGTTATGATTGAAGTTATTCAAAACTCTAAACTTACAGTCAAATTGACCGGCTTGAAGAGGTAGACCGAACCGTACTAAGATTGGCCCAATTCGTGTCAAATCATTCACATATCATGCCATGAAATCACCTTTAAAAGCTTTCTGGATATAATTGGAAGGTAAAAAGGATTCTAAATATGACATGTTTTTGGTCAATGGAGCGTCTTGGCAAGATGAAACTATGAAAATACTTAAATTCTATCAAACATCGTTTGATCGAGAGAATCTCTATGATTTGTGGATACGAGTAGTCTAGATTCATTTCTTATTAGTAAATGGACTCTATAAATAAAGCTCTACCCCACACTCTTAAAGGGGGAGAGATCTTAAACCATAAGAAAGCTGAAGCCTGGAAGATGAGCTGAAGTCTATTATCGCTTCTGCATATTATATCCGATGAATGTCATTCACTCCAGCAGCCGTCGCCGCCAATTCTGGTGAATGCCACCCACCAACTTCAGCCGCTGCCGACGTCGTCCAAGTTTATTTGTCGCCGCCTGTCAGCCCCTGTAAACCATCATCGACCGCTCCTTCCAATGATGCCCTTTGTGAAATCATAATGTGCACTATGGAATCCTAACAAACGTTGCAAAACAGTGAAACACACAGTGCAATGACATGTCCTGAAGATAATGTAACGTCAAACCACATAATGGTATAACAATGCACCTCACATATGATGCAACAACACACATCACATACGGTGCAACAACATACCCCACATTCGGTGCAACTATGCACCCCACATTCTGTGCAACAATGCCACCCAAAGATAGCGTAAAAAAGCACATCGAAAATAATAAATTTCATTAGACTCCTAAAGCTCTCCTCTTACAGTCCTTCACTACGACCTACATGACCAACTACAACCTACGTAGTCCACAATTTATGTCACTTCCGACTTCAGATTTTACATCCTCCAGATGTCATCACAACTTACCACTATAACCTATGTGACCAATAATGACCTACATGATTCACAGTTAATGCAACTCCCGACTTCAGCCCTTGCAGCCAACTGACATCATCACACCACACCACACCACTACGACCTGTGTGACCAACGACAACCCGTGTGGTCCACAACTTGTGTAGCTCTCGACTCCGTTCTCTACATCATGTCAGTATATATATATATATATATATATATATATATATATATATAAGTTAATGGCATTTCCATGGCAATATTAAAAATTTTTTTTTGTTGTTCTTGGTAATAAAAAAATTGTATAAGATTTTTTACTTCACATGTAATAAAGAGTACTGCCTTTATATGACTTCGTTTATAGAAAAATGAGGGCTGACTTTGCGTCGGATCTGTTTTATTTATTCGGAGTAATTAATTATTTATTCTCTATTTTGTGCACATTGCATTGCTGTATTCAGATTTGATGCTGCTCTCTGGTGCAGCTGGCATAGCTAGGGTAGTCAAGATGACTCTTTCTTCACAAACAGCTCGTTGTCACCTCCCAAAAGAGCCCTTATGGGTGGTGGGCAGCCCAGGACTTAAATACTGCTTTTCGGCCCTACACCTAGCCGATGTGGGACTATTTGTCCG